CGAAACCGAAATGACTAATATTGAGAGTAACTTTTTTTTCCTTCGTTTCAAATATGAAAGAATCTTTTGATGTATGAATTTTATTTTAACATATTATTAGATATTGTTTCTAAATCTATTCATATACGCATTCCTAAAAGTTTTAACTCTGCTCGACGCACACAAAATTAAAACAAATAAACCTTAGAAAAAAATTGTTATAAAACGGAGGCTTGGGGTAAACATTTACCCCACACGTAGCTTAGTGAGACCACAGAAAATAATGTGGCTAAGGTCAAATACTTCTATAAGTTACAATCTAAAAATAGCTTACCCATTATATGCAAAAACATACCCCAAACTATGCAAGAGTTTGCGATAATCCAAAGCTGTAGGGATGTAAGTTAAAAAAAAGTAGAATCCCTTTAGTATAGAACTCAAAATGCTGCGACAATGAAAAACAGAAAATAGGAGCGAATGTATATTTGTAGTATCACAGAATATTTACATAAAAACTGTGTATTCCGTACATCAACGTCAGACTAAACTCTTCGGTGCTCAAATCGTCCAGCTCATCTTGTTTCGCTGAAAAAGGGGAAAGGCCAAGGTGCTGTGTGCCACCAGCCACCAACAAATCTTACAATCTATTAAATACTACTAAGAAAATATCACGGTATCATCGAAGTAATAAAATATTATTACCCTCCCTGAATTATCTAAATATTTATATTAAAAATATTATTTAAAATTGTATCTTGACGCACTAGTACGTGAGAAAATTCGTGCGTGGAAACGAAATTCTCGAGAACGTGATACACAATGTATTCGTAACATAAGATAAGAAGAAGAAACGAGCCCAGGCATATAAAAAAAAAATGTTCTTGTATTTGATCGTAAGAATCTCTTAGCTCTCTGCGTTCGTTGTAGGACAATGCGTGGGCGCGCCCTTTCTCAACTAGCGGCCGGCATTCCTACTTGTTTGACTAATTTCCATTTTATCATTATTTCTAAAGAGTTCGGCAAAAAAAACGATTAGTACCTACAAATTCTCCACTCTGCAGCGATTTAAAAACAATCAACTAAGGTAGTAATAACGCACGCTTCGTGGTTGATGGAAACGGATTACAATTTTAGGAACCTCGCGCATCCGCCATTTTGTCATTCATGACTATCATATCGCGCGAAGCAACTCTTACTACATGGTAAGCTTTCTTGGAAATATTCACGCGTATACCAAGTATCGAGCGAATCGAAATCGATTTTAATTAGCATTTGAGTAGAAAGTAGAGATCCAAAAGAAAAAAGGTTACCTGTCCTCCTGAGACTCTGGGCCATTTTCTGCGGCGTCCCCGCCGCCGTTCTCTGCTTCACCGTTCTGCTCGAAATTTTGATCTGCGATATCTTCGCTGAAGTCCTTATTCTCCTGATCGGCCATTTTTTATGTTTATTTAATTCTTTTAAAGTAAACACTTAAAAACACAACTTGAGATCGTGCTTTTACGAATACTTAAATACACTGCACGAGCTAACTACACTCTCACGTCCGTACTGATCGGCCGCCGAATGGAGAAGGAAGAGCTATGACTTGCGCTCCGTTCGACTCAGATTCCGCGCAAAGCATCATGGAATCTCTTCTACCTCCCCCTAGTGTATCCTACGACCAATCAGAGTTCAGCATACAGGACCGTAACTTACGCTTCTTAAATGAAGGTTCCTGATATTTTATGTTTACTTTTTCGGTAGTTATTTCTTTATTTAGATACGCTTTTGTCAAATTTGTTACTATTTCAACATAACTATTTTTAATTGTCAAACTAATCGAGATTGTTAGTGGTAAAAATGAAATATGTAAATATCTCTCTGCAAAGTATTTATCCAGAGAAGATTAATATAAATTTATTTTTAGTAATTACGTATTTACGATATCGTACAAATTATTATTTAAATTATCTGCAAATTAAATTATCTGTCAATGTTATATTATGTATTATCGACGAAATTTCAATTTCTACACATTGCAATGCTTTTATTATTTTTACTTTGATTAAATTTGTACGCGTTCTTTATTTCTATTTTGATGTTATTTGTTGTAGAGAAGCTACTTAAACTTATTTTATATTTTTAAATATCATTGTAAGATGTCTATTGTCGCATACTATTAAGCCTGTCTCTTATACACATCTAGATGTGTATAAGAGACAGCTGTAAATGTTATATAATTTATTATCGACGAAATTTCAATTTCTACACATTGCAATGCTTTTATTATTTTTACTTTGATTAAATTTGTACGCGTTCTTTATTTCTATTTTGATGTTATTTGTTGTAGAGAAGCTACTTAAACTTATTTTATATTTTTAAATATCATTGTAAGATGTCTATTGTCGCATACTATTAAGCCTGTCTCTTATACACATCTAGATGTGTATAAGAGACAGCTGTAAATGTTATATAATTTATTATCGACGAAATTTCAATTTCTACACATTGCAATGCTTTTATTATTTTTACTTTGATTAAATTTGTACGCGTTCTTTATTTCTATTTTGATGTTATTTGTTGTAGAGAAGCTACTTAAACTTATTTTATATTTTTAAATATCATTGTAAGATGTCTATTGTCGCATACTATTAAGCCTGTCTCTTATACACATCTAGATGTGTATAAGAGACAGCTGTAAATGTTATATAATTTATTATCGACGAAATTTCAATTTCTACACATTGCAATGCTTTTATTATTTTTACTTTGATTAAATTTGTACGCGTTCTTTATTTCTATTTTGATGTTATTTGTTGTAGAGAAGCTACTTAAACTTATTTTATATTTTTAAATATCATTGTAAGATGTCTATTGTCGCATACTATTAAGCCTGTCTCTTATACACATCTAGATGTGTATAAGAGACAGCTGTAAATGTTATATAATTTATTATCGACGAAATTTCAATTTCTACACATTGCAATGCTTTTATTATTTTTACTTTGATTAAATTTGTACGCGTTCTTTATTTCTATTTTGATGTTATTTGTTGTAGAGAAGCTACTTAAACTTATTTTATATTTTTAAATATCATTGTAAGATGTCTATTGTCGCATACTATTAAGCCTGTCTCTTATACACATCTAGATGTGTATAAGAGACAGCTGTAAATGTTATATAATTTATTATCGACGAAATTTCAATTTCTACACATTGCAATGCTTTTATTATTTTTACTTTGATTAAATTTGTACGCGTTCTTTATTTCTATTTTGATGTTATTTGTTGTAGAGAAGCTACTTAAACTTATTTTATATTTTTAAATATCATTGTAAGATGTCTATTGTCGCATACTATTAAGCCTGTCTCTTATACACATCTAGATGTGTATAAGAGACAGCTGTAAATGTTATATAATTTATTATCGACGAAATTTCAATTTCTACACATTGCAATGCTTTTATTATTTTTACTTTGATTAAATTTGTACGCGTTCTTTATTTCTATTTTGATGTTATTTGTTGTAGAGAAGCTACTTAAACTTATTTTATATTTTTAAATATCATTGTAAGATGTCTATTGTCGCATACTATTAAGCCTGTCTCTTATACACATCTAGATGTGTATAAGAGACAGCTGTAAATGTTATATAATTTATTATCGACGAAATTTCAATTTCTACACATTGCAATGCTTTTATTATTTTTACTTTGATTAAATTTGTACGCGTTCTTTATTTCTATTTTGATGTTATTTGTTGTAGAGAAGCTACTTAAACTTATTTTATATTTTTAAATATCATTGTAAGATGTCTATTGTCGCATACTATTAAGCCTGTCTCTTATACACATCTAGATGTGTATAAGAGACAGCTGTAAATGTTATATAATTTATTATCGACGAAATTTCAATTTCTACACATTGCAATGCTTTTATTATTTTTACTTTGATTAAATTTGTACGCGTTCTTTATTTCTATTTTGATGTTATTTGTTGTAGAGAAGCTACTTAAACTTATTTTATATTTTTAAATATCATTGTAAGATGTCTATTGTCGCATACTATTAAGCCTGTCTCTTATACACATCTAGATGTGTATAAGAGACAGCTGTAAATGTTATATAATTTATTATCGACGAAATTTCAATTTCTACACATTGCAATGCTTTTATTATTTTTACTTTGATTAAATTTGTACGCGTTCTTTATTTCTATTTTGATGTTATTTGTTGTAGAGAAGCTACTTAAACTTATTTTATATTTTTAAATATCATTGTAAGATGTCTATTGTCGCATACTATTAAGCCTGTCTCTTATACACATCTAGATGTGTATAAGAGACAGCGACTGAACTAACCTAGTAACTGAATGGAAAGAAAATTTACTTGTCTAACAAAGGATGATAATTATTCTGTTATTGAAACGGAAACTTATCGAAACTTTGTTACCAATAATTAGTTATACAATACATATGGTTATATTTTACGCATCTTTTTTCAATTTAGAATGGCATTATTCCTTGTAGGGTTATAAAAGGTATTTAGCATTACAATTTATCTTATACAATACGATAAAAAGCTATGTACTTGCACTGAAACAATAATTTTATACATAAATCTTCAATTTTGATAAGTTAGCTCAAAATTCTATAAAAAATATCGCTTTTTGTTGCCAATCAGTTTTAACAATCGAAATTTATTTCAATCAGATACATTGATAACATTTCAAAAGGATCTCATAATTGTTTTTAATAAATGAAGCTTTTATTTATTGGTTTGAATAATATAAAGAATTTTATTTAATTATTAGATTACGGGAAAAGAATCTAAATTTTGAGGCATTGATACGGCCCTGTAACACCAATCGATGTCTGCTGGGAATTCCACAAGGGGGAACAGCGGATATAATGGTGCATACGAAAATTTTGGGCGTGGGGAATGGAGCGAAAACGAAGAGCCAATCAGACTAGCAACAAATGTTGAGTAGTACGTGGCAGCCAATAGGAGTTCGCCGATGAACCAGCTTCATTCAGTTGCTTCATTTCCCAGAATTCTATGCGTATGGATTTCTAAGAAATCAATAAAATATTATATATAGCCTCATTGTAGATCTTCCATAAATAATTCTTCTAATTTCATTTTTTAATTTTTACTATTTATTTCGCACTTTTTATCAATTACTTATATTACAGAAAGGATGTTCGATTATCATGTCCACTAAAAGCGGGAAACGGTTAAGTTGATTCAGCATTCTCATTGTTCTATAGACGCTAACGTTGGCGCTGTCATCGATGTAGAAGGCGGCATGCGATGCAAGAATATTATTAGATGTGGAGATACGTAATTTATTTTTATTTCACATTAAAATTAATCTATATTAAGATTAATCTACATGTTATATTATTATTTATTATTAAAAGGCGTTTATGCTTTTATTTTTTCAATTTTATTGCTAATGAATAGTATGAACTTTATTCCATTGTATTATTTAGCAGAATAACTAATTCATTATTCTTGCCCCTTTACTCAGTCTTTTTTATTCAAACAATTTTCTTTTAAAGTAATTATCAGTATAAAGTACTGTTAAACAATAACTTCTTTGTTTATATGTAATTTTGTATCAGTTCTTCATTTGTTAATATAGTCTTGCCAGTATTACTAAATTTGAAGCTTGTCGCAAGAAAAAAAATTGTTTTCTTAGAGAACTTTCGTCAAAAAGTTCATCTTTAAATTGTCAAAATGCCTGAACAGAAGGTAAAATTGTTTCCCTCCACAGTCATATGAGGAAACTTGAATTGCCCTCTCCAACATAATGTACTTTGTAGATTTTGAGGCTACAGGATGTCTGGCGGACTTGTAATAAAATACGGGCTGCTATATTCCGCGTGGGATTTAACTTGTGGGATTATTATAAACCTTTAGATCCCGATAATAATTGTTTAATTTCAGGTATGACTATATATATATTGTACCAAAATTTTTTTGTATATGCATATGCTTTATTTAATTTTCTATAGTAAGTAATTTGTATATAGTATTGTATAATATTGTTATCAATATACAGAGTCCAAGTTCATATCTGTGTTTGCTGGCCCTTTGAAAGATAATATTGGTCTATCTGAAAAAGAAGTTTGTGATTTAGCAGATTATTTTCGTGTTCAGGACGGCCGAATACTTTATACACAGTTTTGCACAATTATTCACGACAATGGTATGAATACTTTATTTATATTTATATAAATTGAAGTGATTTTAATAAGAGTTTATACTCTCGAGTATTATTAATCGTATTACACGTATGTCGATCACTCCATTTTGAATACATTCATATTTACTCATTTCAATATGATTAATAACGAATTATTCTCATTATAATATAAAAGAAATATACTATTAAAGGGAGAGTTTTTTAATGAAGTATTATTTAAAATATAAGTGGATTTTCGTAATATGTAGTTCAGCTCTTTAGCATGCCTATATCGTTAACAAAATACTGAAGGAGTATTTTTAACTAAATTAAACTAATTAAAAAGAAATAAATAATATATTATAATAAATGAAGGAAACGAAAAGTGGTTTGAGATAGAATCTCAGTTGTTCCATGGTTATAGTTTTCAATCGCTGTAACAACCACTGCAGAGGTTGAGAGCTGCTGACTTCCGGTGAATAGCGGATTTACCGAAGATCTCAAAATATTTGTACAGATTTTAACGATAATTTTTTAATACTGATAGGATATTGATAACAAGCATTTGTAGTTTGTTCGTGCATGTTAATCCCTACATTTTGCACTATATTTCATTAAAAAATACACTCGTTTTAATAGCATGCTTCTGTTGCCAGTAAATAATAGGTAGCCGAAAATTCTCGTGGAAAATTTCCACGCTACTATAGCGTGTTTAAGAAGAAAGGAATTCGTAGTTGACCGCTATAGCTGGTCCAGTACCGTTAAGTGAACGCAACATTTGGGCAAAATTTACCTTATTGTATACACATAAAATCCTCTACCTCTTCTTTCACTACATTCACTCGTAGTTGCTTGCAGCATCTATTGCAAACCTTTGTAAATGATTGCTACTTTTATTGTAGTACCTGAATTTGATAAGAATAAGCCGCTAATAACAGGCTTAGAATGGGAAGATCCCAAACATGTGAATCGTTTAAGTCCAACAGAATATCGAAAATTATGTCTTATCTTGACACAAATTGCTGTTCTTGTAAATAAAAGGCGGCTAATCTTACGACCCTACTTCCAAGATTATGAATTGGTGCGTCATATGTACAAGTTTCCTGTTCGAAATTTATGCATGAGGAAGGAAAATGATTTTATATTATGGATCAGAAACCATGATTTAGAAAGGAAAACAATATTTATTCATTTTTAATAAATTTATTTCTACAAACTATTTTTACTAAAAATTTTTCATTAATCTATTTTTATAAACTATCACATACTTTGTTTTTATAAAAAAATAACATTTTATGGTCGAAATTATATGCTAAAAATACGGTAGCAAATGTACATATATACAGTGTACTTGTTTAAGCAGAATATAATAGAATATAACAATTTTATTAAGCTCTATTTTATAGAATTTTTATTTCACTTTATTTATCTATCTCTATATTTGGTATATTAATTTGTAAATATTTGATTTATCATAAACATCAAAACTTTACATGAATATATATTGAATGTATATTGTTATGTGTCTATTATTAACACTAAATCTAGAGAACACTGAAAGTGATTGGTTTTTGTTACTTACTTACTTTTAATAATTATAAAATAAAATTTTATGTGCCATGGTATGTTAAATGTTAAAAATATCTTCCTCATGCTTTTTATGCTTACTATAGTAAAAATAAATTGTTGTTCATAGATCTCAAAGAATGCTGGTACAGTAACATTCACACATTTTGGACGAATTTTAATGTTCCTAGGAATTGTACTTGCATGCGCTGAATATTCTTTACTTATAAAACGATTTGCCAAAGATGCCTATACACTCAATTACATAGCCTTCTTGCAGGCAATTGATGAAGTTCAATCTTATCTGGATAAACATGGAATGTTATCTCTTGGCGGAGTAATGTTACAAATTTTATATGTTTTTACACAATTAATACACCACATATTTGTTATTTTATGCTATATTGTAGCGTAATGTTGATTTAAAACACATAAAAAATTAACATAAAGAGAATTCACATGTTTAGTTTTAAAAAATAATTACTTTTCTGTGTTCTAATTAATTTTCATTCTTGATATTTAGAATTTGAACTATATTTAACATACGATTCCACGCAATGAACTATATTCAGTATATTTGAATGTAATGATACAAAAGGTTGTCCAGCATTTATTATCTACATTTTTGTTACCTTAGTGATTTGTATGTAAATGCATCATATAACGTTATTTACGAAGCTATAGGAGAAGTATTATATTTTTCACTTGCTTGTGCAAGCACTTTTTACACTGTTGATATGTCAACACTTCCATTAAAAATTTTTTAATTTAGTATATTAGGATAAAGAACTGAAACTCCTCATTCATATCTTTTATACTTACGTGTAGTGTGAGCAAGTGTAAGTGTGACCATTTTCAACCATTTGCCTGCAACATAGGGTGTCCCTCACATCCGCACGCTCCCCGAAATCCTTACACATAAACTTTTCAGTTTAGGCTAGTCAGGGAAAAGTGTGAATGCGAGGGACGCCCGTGTCGCAGGCAAATTATACTGTTCAAATGTGAGTTGAAATAAACATGTAATATAAAGAAGTACACAAAAGATGATTAAAGTAAAAGAAAATAGAGTAGTCACTGATTAAAAAAAAACATTGTCAATTCTGGGTGTACTATTTATAGTTTGTTTATATATTTTTTCTTCGAGATTGAAATTGGCGCGCGACTGCTGGTCGCTTCGTTCTCTTAGAAATCATAAAAAACATGTATTGAATAAAGTTCTTTTACCTACCATAGTTTAATAATTCAATAAATGGCTTTTAAATTCGTCGCAACACACTCTATCTTTTAAGCACTTACAATTAGTTTTGCATGGTTGATAGGATCGTTCTAACCTGTTCATATAACGTACAAAGTTTCACATGGACCACACGATGTTGACTACAAATAATGGACAAGAACGAACGCTGGATGAAATACGCCAAGTTTTGAAGCTGGCCGTTATCAAAGAGTCAGATTTGCAAAATGTAACGCAAATATTATATTTCTCGGCTGACGATAACGTAGAGAAACATACAAAGCTGTTGGCACTCGATGAGCACTTGTTAGAAACTATCAAGGCAGGGGATAGTTTAACATTTCAGGGGACTAAAAACGACTCTGTGATGCTATGCACAAGAAATAAAACTTACAGCGTTACAGAAATAGAAACCTCTAATTCCTGTTTGATACTACCAAATCTAAACTTATTTAAGGATGTCAATGTACCCGCAATAAATGACAGAATAATGAGAAATTGTGATATCTCAGGAATTTTTAATGCATACTTCGAGGTAGAACAATGCAAGCCTAAGTTTGAAAAATTGCTCAGCATACTCGAACCTACTGCTTTCAAAGGAATGGAGTACGAATCTACAATACCTCAAGAGCTTCTGTACAATTGGGATAGATTAAGAAATGAAGTACAAGCCAGTGAAAACGAATTGAACAGAGCATTCGTCGATTACCTTATAGCTAATATCGATGGTTACTACCGTCTAATATCATTCGAAGCAGAAATGCAAAGTTTGACTTCAATGTTGGATATATATGAAGAAAATAGCTGGGAATTGGATGAAGTGGATAAAGAAGCTACATACGAGGCCTTGAAGGAACTTATACCTAAGTCAATATTTGATGCCTTGTTTGTAGCGTACGCAGAAGCAAGTGGTAAATCAAAGCAAGATGGAACACCTTTCTACAGATACATAGAAGATAAATGCTGTAAAAGTTTGGCAAAGGTCCTTCTAACTGTTTCACCAGTCACAGAGTATGAACAATTTATGCAGTCATGGCGTATCGGTACACCAGAAAAAATGAAGCCGAAAGAAGAATATTTGGGTGGTGTAGCTATTATAAAATGGAACAATTCAATATTGAAGAAAGAAGTAGTAGCTTTTTCAGAAGCAAATTTATCAAAGAATATCGATGAAAGGTTTAATCAACTTTTTAAAGCAAAAAACAAATGGACAAGGACAGAAATAACACCTTACGTGTTGTGTTTGACAACGGATAAACTAAATGTTAATGCTCTGCTGACTAAATATGCTAGATGCACTATGGTAAATGGTGTGAAATATTATAGTTGCAAGCATGGTAAATAGCCAGTTGAAGACAAAACAGTTTTTACATAGCTGAAATGTAAAAACTCTTTATTAGCCTTATCAAGTTGATCCTTTTGATACAACTATTCTTTTCCTTTTTTAGTTTCACTTGTTAATAAGTAAAATGAAATTATGTTTCTTTATACCGATAATTAGATATTATGTTTATATAATTATGTTTATCTATGTTTAGATAATTATGTTTATTTAAAATTACATAAATAATATTCGTTCGCTATAATTTTCTTCTTGAAACTATACAACGTTGTATTTATTTTAGTTGAGAGTTGTATTTCTTGATGCGTATTCTAAGGTTCTGTATAACCATTCCATGGTAGACACAATTCTATTTGTATCTCCTATACTTTGATTTAAGATGTAGGAGGACCCTGAACGTGTAGAGCATTTCATTAAAGTTTGAGACAATATTTTCAATAAATGCATTTTTTAAATATTGCGGTATTTATGTATACTCTATCCTATAGTTGTTGGAATCGAATGTTAAATATACGTTAACAGAATATAAAGATTTGCAAAAACATGTGTTGCGTACGTCTTTTTTTAATTTAATTGTAACAGAATTGTTATGAATCGTTATTTCAATTTATTTGAAAGGAAATGCTAGATCAGTTCCCTGGTCGAATTATAACGGCAGAACTACCAAAATTTCCACGGCCGGAAATCGGTAAAGTGATACCAAGCAAAGTATTCAAGAAGCAATCAGTTTTTCATCCGGTGATGGAAGAATCCAAAAGTACCATGGCTTTAAAAGAAATTGTTCAACGTATTCAGAGGCACATTCTCGAGAATAGGATCCGTATTTCTGAATTTTACAAGGTCTATGCCACCTCTCGTTTAGCATAGTTGCGATTAGTCGTGTGGAATATTTTCTTTTTTCTTAAATTCTAATTTCCTGAAAAGATCTCTACGTATAAACCTTTTTATTTGATTTACTTATTTAATTAATTGTATGTAATGTACAATACTGAACGATGTAAAATAAAACAAATTTTATCTTAGATATCTTTCACGCAAAATAAAAATAAAATCATGTACGTATATGTATGAAATAATTTGCATCTTAAGGAGGCTAAACGACACTACATATTTTGCAGAAGCATCGTAGCTTCATAGGATACGATTAATTTTCGATTAGTTTGACTAAAATTAAATGGTTAATGACAGAGATTTGATCCTCTGAATGTCGGGAAGGTGACGATTTCTCAGTTTAAAAGAGGGCTAGACGGCCTCCAGATTTCCACTTTGGGACGTTTGTACCTTGCGGAAGCAGAAATTGATGCACTTGTGACGGTTTATAAAGATCCAAATGATATCGACCGTGTGTGTTGGCGTACGTTTGCCGACGATATTGATCAAGGTATTTACTATTAAAAAAAATCGTTAAAAATCGTTCGGTATTGGTCGGATTTAAAATTTATATATGTAGACATTTATTGCTCTCTCAGTTTTCAAATATATTTTTGCATTCGAATCTAGTGTTCACCATCAAGGAGCTCGACAAATTGCCAAATTTGAGAATTGAATCTCCACCGACTGAAATAGAACAGTTGAGCCGAAAAGGAGGGTCGAATTGGCAATGCGAGGCAACGAGCACCAGAGACCTTTGCGAAGAAGTATTACAAAAAATTCGATTCCGTGTTAACGAACGAAGAATATTGATAAAACAGTTTTTCAAGGATTACGATAGGTATAATAGTTTCGTTTCTCTTTCTCCGTTATGCTCGAGACGCATAATTTAGAATCGAAATCGCTGTTCTACATCTCCTAATAGTTCGGTATCTTAAAAAGTTC